CAAAGTCACTAGGTAATTTATTCCCCAGAGAATATTCATTAGCATTGTGAAATTGATGTTGTTTATGGAGAGACAATTGCATTACTGGTAAATCAGATTTCAATTTTCCTGCATAAATGTACCATACACTTTCCCATTTCCTTTCATATATTATATATTCCATAAAAGACATATATCTTAACTAGTGTTTTTCCCCTCATTTCCAATCACTTGAAATTACTTTTAAGGTTTGTTTGATAAAGATGAAGAAATTCAGTCCTAGTGGAATACTGGTGGTTTCAAATCAGAGCAACCACTAATATATGTGCCAAAAGATCCACCTGGCTTCTGTCATTAGACATCCTAGCTTCAGTCATGAATTCAGCCCCAACAGCTTTGATGCAAGCCATACATAACATCTCGTTTAACTAGGGGAGGTTTTTGAACAAGGAAAATAGAGGAGTAGTTCAGCTTGACACAACAGCTAAGAACAGAACTACAGCAGGTCAAAGACACATCAGAAGCCAAGCAGGTCCTTGACAAAACTGTATCCTTTCCAGCCATCCAGAACACTGACTCAAGACTGCAGACATTTTTCCTTATCCTTTGATTTCACATATAACCAAACTAGGTGGTTTGCCAAATCACCAGATTCTATAGTGCCTTTAGACAGGTCTGGTAACTTTGCCAACAGCAGGGAAGAAAAACCTCCACAGAGCAGTCTTGTCTGAGTGTGGATGACAAGAGTTTCAGCATCTTGTAAAAATAAATGCAAACATCGTTCAACCTGAGTATATTTCAAGAGGAATGTATTTTTTATTGAAGTGCTACATTAAACCACAAACTATTCACCACAGAAGGTTAATTATGGTTATCACCACAAGAAACTACTCTAAACTCCTCAACCAACATTGTAATTGTAGAGATGATCTCCAAAGAGTCAATGCAATTCAGGCTCTACATTCAACCAGAATGCAACTTCCATGGAAAATTCATCAGAAAGAGAAATAAAATGGCAAGTTCAACTATTTCTTCTTTTGTGGAGGTTATTTTTGCAGAAAACTGCCCAATCTATTTCCATTTTATGTATTATAAAAGTGTTTTTGAAAAAGAAACATCAAGCCTTCTAAATTTGGCTTGATATTTTGAATAGAAGCAGTATTTTATGCTTCAGAGTATGATATAATGTTTGGCTACAGAATGGATGCTCTGAGTACGATATAATGTTTGGCTACAGAATGGATGTCATTCTATCTACTAGAATCCATAAATATTAAAACTCAAATTACCAATTCCATTTTATCAACCATATTTGAAATGAATTATATTATTAATGACTTAAGAATCATAATAGGCCCATCCTTGCCAATTCAATTACTGAGCATTTCATTATACACAGGTGACTCCCAGTCTGTAGCAAGATGAACAATCAAAATAGACAGTTAGTGTCACAACATACTATTAAACCAAGTGCTTCAGTGTCAAAAGAGGAATGGTCCCTTTTCTCTCCTCTCATTTGGCACGACTACCAGGCACGAGAGGACATGTTAATACTAACACATACAACAGCCTTCCTTCCACTCAGCTCCAGTTATGCCTCTGTGAGTAAATTCTCAGTATGCTGCACTGTCTGTCTGCTGCTTTGTCAAACAGATTTGTACCCTGGGGGGACTAGGAGTGGAACTTCCAATATGGCAGTTAATACCACATAAAAACCTAAAGCAGGGAGCAGGCTGGAGGAAAAAGGGACCATAACAGCATTTAAATGTTTAAGACTGCATAAAGATAAAAGACTGCTGTGCAACACCAAAAACATAAGAAAACTTACACAGTTGTGTTTCTGACTTAACAGGCATAAATTTTAGCTTTTCAGTCTCAAACAGCTGAGGGGAGGGGTAGAAGCCTTTTGTATGAGTGTAGTAAGGACATGCAAAGTGCCATCAAGGAGCCACCTTTGCTAAAGCAAAAACCCCTAAAATGCAGCACCCACTCACTAATTTGGCTGTTAGGGAACCACAGCAGATTATTTTTTGGTACCCAAGGAACAAAGACATTTATTCACAGTCATGCAGCAGATGAATTATGCTGAGGAAAAAACTCAGTCTGAAAAAAGCTGCAGACCATAATACTGTGAGGACAAAAGGCTGCTGTGTGGAACAATCTGTTATGCCCATCCCTAAGCAGACAGAATAGAGCAGCAGCCTCCAAAGCATTTACATCAAAACATCGTTATAAACAGGAAAAAAAGTCGCAAACATATTAACTTCAGACACTCTCTACTGCCTTTTGAGTATATCCAGCTGCACAAAAAGTGGGGTTTTTTTTAAGCTCAAAATACTGACTGCAGTGAATCAAACCTTGTCACCTTTACAGGTCTGAAACAACAGCTGAAAACATGACATTTTACTCTGTCCTTGCTACTAAAGGGTGAGAAAATACAGGGTTGGCAGGAAGAAAAAATAAATAGAATACTGTTCATCCTCTTCCCCTCTCATTTTAGATTTTAACTAAGTCAGGTTACATGCAGTCACAGAAAACTATACAGTCTCTTCAATTTCCTTTAGCTTTTATCCTGCCAGTTCCCCTCTCACTGCACATTCCCTCTCATTTTATCCACTGCTTGTCACACCTTGTATTCTACTCCACTGACCTGCCCATTATCAAATGCAAAATACAGAGTCTGTAGGGGTGTGGATTTGTGTAACAAATGTTAAGTAAACAAAAAAAGACTGGAAAAGGACACTGTACAATAAATGCATAAATTGCCAAACATTGAGAAAGAGCCACTTTTAATCCCTGAGAACCAGAGGACATCAGCTTCCCTTTTTTCTCAATTTTGGCAACAATATTCTTGCTCTTACACAAATAAAAATGGCTTTCTACCCTATGGGACTAGAAGTTGAGCATGACTTCACCCACAATGCAAGAGGAAGGCCTGACTGTTGTCTGCTGTATTCCTCTTCTAAATAACATTATTGGAACATACTCTGAGTGGTAGCGCCAGGAAGCTAAGTCAGAAAACAATGGAGGACTGACTGGAACAGGGCAGAAAATTCTGAATGAAAATTCTTTATACTGGTCTATGGCAGGAAACCTTTTTATGTAATAACCTGCCAAGGCTTTTTGATTTAAAAGTAGTTTGAAATACTATGGTGTGAGTCAACCTCAAGTATTACACTGTACTACTGTGACTTCACATTGCTGAGCAATGTTCATAGAGAAGAATATGAACTTACTCCACTTGCTTAACAGCATTTTATTCTGAAGTTGGTAAGAAATTACTCAGCTTAAAAAAAAATATATAATTAACTGCTTGCTTTATAAAACACTTAAGTTACAACAAAACCTGGTAGCTAAAAGTCCTTTAAAAAAACCAACATAAAATACAGCTAGAAATGTGCAGTTGTGCTAGTTTGGGCTGAAGTAGTTGCCTTTCTTCACAGTGGCTAGTCTGGGGCTATGTTTAGGATTTGCACAGAACATAAGGCTGATAATACAGAGATGTTTTTGTTATTGCTGAGCAGAGCTCACACAGAGCCAAGGCCTTTGCTGTTTTCCATACTGCCACACTGGCAAGGAGTTTGGGGGTGCATGGGAGGAGGTTGGGGGGAGACACAGGTGAACAGGTAGGGAATTGTGTCAGTCTAATTATGCCAGAGCAAGAGTGTGTCTGTGCATGTTTACACACACAAAAAAAATAACGGAATGTTAATCATATCTTCTGTGCACAGGATCTTTTCTTACACCTTCTTGTATACTTTCCTTATACCTTCTTGTCCTTTAGAGGTAATCAAAAAAAAAAAAAAAAAAAGACAAAAAGTAAACTACTGAAATTAGTGACAGAAACATGAAACAAACAAGCTTCTCCCCTAAATGACAACAATAATATTTTCATTGAAGGGTGATCAGCTTCATTTACTCTGGAGTGTCATACCTGTTGAAGTTAATGTCTGGATAACTAGAATACTCAGACTTCATCTTTGCATTGCGACGTGGAAAAGTACAGAAGAAAGCATTGGCCAGGAAACTAGCAATCTGCTCTTGTGACATTGTGATGGAGTGATTCATCTTCTGTTTCAGTAGAGGTATCGGCTACCAAGAGAAGAAGTGAGGGGGAGGAAGGGGCAGGGGAGAAGGGAGGGAAGGAGAGAGAAAAATAATTAGCTTAGCCTTTCTGAAAGAAAAAACAGGAGCACAAAATTACATTCGTTATATTAGAGCAAGAGTAATTTAGGCCATTGGTAAGGCCTCTAATCAGCAGCACCATTAAAGTCAAGAACAGTGTATGCAAGACAATTCAGGAAAGGCTTGCACGACAAACTGTGGACTTATAATAAATAATAAAAAGAAAGACCAGGAAAACACAAGTTACCAAACAAAATCATGGGGAATGGAGAGGGGAAAAATACGTGTGATGTTGCAAATCCTGGGCAATGTTAAAAACTGATGTAAAAAGCCACTTTCAATAGCTGTATTGTTAAGAAACCTGAAGGAATGCTTTCAGCTGCAATAACCATGCTTTAAACTTTACAAAGAAACAAGGAAGCCATGCCACAGATTGTAACTCTATGACTTGCTTGGAGGTTTTTCCCATCCTACTTGAAGAAATAACACAGATACTCTTTGCAGGAAGTGCATAATTATCCATTCCTTTAGAATCAGAATGAACAGAAAGCTCAGTTTCACTCTGGTTTGGAGTTTTATTTAACTCTAATCAGGGTTTCCTTAATATAAAAAGGAATAAAGGGGCAAGGGGAACAAAAGAAATCCCTCTCTGGAGCATTATACATGTCCCATTTTATCAGGCATTAGCCTTGATTTGGAATTTTGGCTCACAACTTTCATGGCATGTTATTTATTCTTTTAAAATCTGTGATACTATGGAGTGTGGGGGAGTATATCATTCTGTCTGCTAAGGAGTCCAGTAACAACTACAATAAACCTATTCAATGGGAGAAAGAACAGTTTTCACCTCTTCCAAATTTCTTGGCCATCATTAGCCTAGCTCCAGTAGAGCTGAGCAGCTACATTTTAATCCTTTTAGCTATGAATACAGAAATTGCTGCTAATTTACACTGTTGAATACACAGCCCTGTCTACTCCAGAGAACAGTTTTCCTTCATTCTTGTAACCACTATATTCATGCTTACAGAATCTCATTCTTGTCTTCTGGCTATTTAATTAACAAGCTATTTATGATGTCTGTAGTCACACAGCTAGAGGTGGGGAAAAAGTTCTACAAACTTGTAAAAATAGAGTATTTTGGGCAGTGTTCTATTGGAACAAATTTAGCTTTATGTCTAACCAAAAAAATAAGCCTGACAAAGGTCTCTTCAATTTCCACTACCTAGCAGTACATGATCTTTACAAAAGGCATTACTACATGGACTTTAAAGTCTTGTACTTGACTTTGTGCTCAGAAACTTCATAGCATTCTCAAACAACTTTCCTCATCAAATTACTAGTAAAAGAAATTTAAGAAACATTCACAATTTGAAACGATGTATCTACTTTAGGCCCACTGCAGCATAACAAAGTAGAGAGAAATATTCCCTGCTCCTGTCCAACAGAATCAAACTAGAAAATGGTAGCAAAGGAGGTGACAAATTAGAGTTTCTACCCTACTAATGTGTTACCCATCATACATCCTCACTTAACCACTCCTATTCAGTTTTATCAGCTTTATTACTTACAGAACAATTTCCATAGCACTAATAAAGAATTAGTTACAGTTTGTATGTGCAGAAGTATTATATGCTGCAGGCAGAAGAAAATATGCTCCCAAGTAAATAAAGGCTTTATGAAAATACCACCACTAGGATTAAAAAAAATTAATAAAAAATTAGGCATTTTAAGATTATTCAACTGTTTTACTTTATAAGTGTGACTTTAGAACCTGAAAGGTTCATTTAAGAAATTTAAGAAACTTAAGAAATCTTAAACTTTCATCTTAAATTCAACCTCAATTAAGAAATGCAAGAAGCAAAAAATACGACAGTGCAATTTATTTTGCTTTTACATTCTGTTACACAATTACAGATGTGTACTGTTTGTTCTGCTCCCTAGGCCTAAGCTACATTCAACACAAAAACTACAGCTTTTATTAAGAACATAATACAATCCTGATGTTTGGACCTTAGCCATCAGTTGCAGTTTGCAGAGAAGTGCTCTGACACAGAGCACTGGCTGGCTGTGTTTGCTTACCTGAGTGCAGATACTAGGGAGACAGAGTGCCAGCTTGACCATATCAGGAAGAATGGACTGGAACAGATGTTGAGCCTCTGCATCTTCCAGAACCTGTCAAAAAGAAATTTAAAAAAAGCAAGCTTTTTACCTCAGAAATAATGATTGAGTGAAAAGTTTGTGAAAACAGGACTCTTCCAAAAGACACAAGACAAAAAATAGGTCCTCTGAGCGTCATGCAAACCTGTAACATTTTCATGGTAGTATCTCACTGAACTGACCTTGCAATAATCCACTGACTGGAACACAGAAACAACTCGAAAGTTGAGTTGAGAAAATATGTCATCAAATGCCCTACAAAGGAACCTTGAATAAGCTATCATTTGAGTCTCTCCAAAGCAATGAACCAAATTCTCAACTGATAAAAATCACTACCTAAACACAGTAATACTGAAACTGAAAATTTCATACTCAGGTCATAGTCCAAGACAAGTACCTGGGCATTTTTAGCTGCGCATCCCCACTGTGTTCCCTCAAGAACTATAGCCACTGGATTACAGAACAGGTGCAGCCTGCCTGGTCTCACATGCTGAAGTTGCAGTCTTTTCAGTCTCTTCCTGTAAGACAGCTGAGCCTACAACTATTTTACCTGCCTGTCTCTACCTGTTCTAACATTCCTCCTGAGAAGGGGAGACCAGAATTGACAACACTGACAACAAATGGGCATACCAACATTCTACAAGGCTTCTCAAAGCTTTTATACTCGAGACCAAGTCACATCCAACTCTTCTTGCCCTATTCTCAATTCCCTCCCTGACACTGTCTGGCCCACTGTTGACATGTTAGGCTGCCAAAACATATGAAGCCAATGTATTCAGATCAAGTCCAGGGTGTCTTCTAAATTGCAACTGCCAGTTCTGAGCTCAGCATCACACCCACAGGGTTTAGAGGAACCCACCCACACTTTTACTCAAGTATCATACACGTATTTTTAAAAGGTGCAAAAGGTTCTTTACGGTGGATAATCCTCTTCTAAGAAAAGCAAGGATAGGCACACGAATGGGAGGCTGTAAAAAGTAAAGCAACATAAAGCAGTGTGGTTGCAATAAGTGAAGCAGTGCAAAAGCACACAATAGCCTCAAACCTCTCACACTGCTGGATGAATGGGCTGAAGGAAGTTCAAGAAGAGAAAAGCACATTCTTCAGTTTTTCCCCTGATCTAGGGATGCAGGCACCAGATGTGACTGGCTGTTAGGGCTGCATGCTGCATTTAAGGCAAAAAGCAGAGAGAAGAGAATGCACAGCTACAGCTGGGGACAGAAGACAAAGGTCACAGGTCAGCCATCCGCCTCCCTCCTTCCCCTATATCCAGGGAATCTGTATTTGAGACCAATACTTTCTACTAGTTTCTTGATTAAAATCATCAAAATTCTGAAACAATGGCTTTAAAACTACAGAATATTATTTTTCAAGTAACACCTAAAAATAATTGGATTTACTACAAATTTCACACAAAATCACCAGCAGACAGAATGGATGACACAGCATGAAGGTATTATCAACTGTAATCTCTACAACACTTAAGACTAATCGTGAAATCACAGAAAGTAATCAGAGCTTTGTCATTCACATTTCAATGGAAAGTTTCACACAGACTTCAAAATGTAAAAGAGATACTGGCAATTCTCTTGAGAAGAGGAAAATACAGTGCCTCTGATTCAAAGCGCACTGTTCCTCATAAACACTGAAAATATTGTTTGAAGGCTAACAGCTTCTGTTCTTCTGAGATCATTAAAATAACTATGGAAGTTTCTTTGCTCTACTCTCTCCTGCTCCAAGCAATATAAAGGGATAAGAGTACTCAGGCAGTTAAAAACCAAAGCACAAATAAATACTCAAAGGAAAAACAACTTCTGGTAGGGAACGCACTGTTCCTCATAAACACTGAAAATATTGTTTGAAGGCTAACAGCTTCTGTTCTTCTGAGATCATTAAAATAACTATGGAAGTTTCTTTGCTCTACTCTCTCCTGCTCCAAGCAATATAAAGGGATAAGAGTACTCAGGCAGTTAAAAACCAAAGCACAAATAAATACTCAAAGGAAAAACAACTTCTGGTAGGGAAGGGAAAACCAACACAGTTACTTTCTATGTGCAATATATGCAGGACAGACATAAACAAGGTTTTAATTTAAAAGTTTTAAAATGAAACAAGAACTTACAAAGAACATCAAGTCCAGGAAACATGAAAATCATTTGATATAACAAGGGATGAATCCAAACAATATACAAATTACTACTGGAAGTAAATTTATTTTTAAGATTAGGACATGAATAGATGCATCTTTCTCTCTCCTGTTGCTGGCTACAGATGCACCTACATATTCACACAGTGTAAGTCAGATATTGAAAACTATGGCCTAACCTTTAACATCATCTGCTCTAGCAGGAAACTTTGCTCTCTTCTTAGGCACAATGGTTTTAAGTCCCATAAAGTAATAAAATGAGCATCTGAAGTCTGGAATTTCAGATCTCAATATATAAAATGAATACATAAGTTATATCTATTCAAAAGATGACATTTAACCTCAGATGTCTACCAGGCTGTCAAATTCTGATATTCTCTCCCCTTTGGGTAACACTTCCTCTCTTTTAAAGTTGACATATAAATAGTGGCTGCTATGCTTTGCTGACTGCCACAGACTATACAGTATCACTTATCTGGTGACACATTATGGCACTGGACTTTGTCATAACTGTCAAGACTTCAACCTTTTCTTTATGCTTCTTTGAAAACAACATAATAGTAGAATGAGACAATTTCTTCCCAAAACAGAAGCAGGCCAGCAATTGCATAGTTCAGCTCTGATGCAGAATGCTTAACTACAAAGGTCACTTCTTCAACTCTGAAATTCTACTTTTCCCTCTTCTCCCCTTCCTAGTGATGTACCAGATTATGCTCTCCTTTCTGTTATTTCTATGCATGACTTTCACTAGACCTCCAGTAATGAAAAACCTCACAATTTAGAGCCCAGAAGTGTTCTCATTGACTTCTGACTATTCTTACATGTAAATGAAGTGCATTTTTTAAAAAGTGTTGGGTGCCACGAGGACCCCACTTCAAAAAGATGATCATAGTGAGTTCACAGACCTTGTCAAGAAACTCCTAACTCAGCACTGTTCTCTATGAAACCACCAAGCATCAATGGCCACATCCACATAATTATAGTTTATTCTTCCTGCCCATAGATTCTTCCTGTACAGGTCCCACTCCTATGAGGTTTGCCTGAAAGAGAGCTCCTGCAAATCCCTGGCTGCTTGGCCCTCTTCCTATGAGGTTTGCCTGAAAAAGAGCACCTGCAAATCCCTGGCTGCTTGGCCCTCAGCCTCTTTTGACCACTAACCTAGCACAGCATCACCAGTGCAGCTTTGGAGACCAATCGCTGTCACTGCATATTCTCTGCTGAGTGCAACATAGAGCCTGGTTTTACCTGTGACAGTCTTTTCAGACTTTGAAGCAGCAAGAAAAGAACATTAAGTCATGGAAGGTAAAAGAACATGGAGTGCTAACACCACAGCTACACCTGGCAGCCATCCCACAATGCAAATGCCAACCTGGGAGAACCCGGCATCAGCACAGAGAGCACCTGGTCACAGAACTGAAGCAAGATTTAGCTAGAAGGAAAGTCTTCAGGAAGCAGTGACTTGTACTGATGTAAAATCCAGCATATTTAGAGCTATATTACGTATTTTCCTTATTTGATGCTGCTGAAAAAGGGATGTGTCATTCCATCCCTTCAAACACACACACACAACCATCACATTTCACCAGTTCCCATGTTCATCTGACAATTTCCTGAGATCCTTCAGCTTGCTAACACTACAGGAAAATAACTTGGGAGGTAGTCTTTCTCTGCATTGGTAAATTGAACCAGCCTACCAAAAAGCCATGTATTAGATGTTGTGCAGAGTGGGTGGTGAGTGGGACAGAACCAGTCACACCCCTTGTCAATGGGCTGCAAAGGCAGGTATCAGCTGCAAATCTTCTCACTGAAAAAAGCAGCAATATTCTAGTCCGTATGAAGCTGTTACAACGAGCACCTCCCTTGAAAGTAAATCTGCTACTATAGGAATGTCTGCATCAATTCAGTAATGTGCTTTTAACTGTGTACAATCTTATTCAAGGCCACAATTCTGCAAACATTAAGGGAAAGGAGTGGGTTTCCATCTTTAAAAGAAATAACATTGGGTTTATAACTTAAGGAATTCTAAAATATGTCTAAAATCATCAACAATTTTTGATAAAGGAAAATACATTAAATGCCACAGAACTTCTGTTTTTAAACAACTGATCAGTTTCTCTTTTCCTTATTATGCATATATATCCTCTGCAGCTTCCTTCAGGACTTGAAATAAAAACATAAACACACTGCTGACTTTATTCAGTCCTCCAATCATGCAAAATACGGAGGAATTAAATAAAAACAGAGGTTATACCCTGAGGAAAAGTATATGGAATCAGAGTTGCAAAGCATGACTTGCCTTTTGCCAAAGAAATCACTTGGCAATTCCATCAGTATTTGCACTGGAGTGACTGATTAAATGAACATGACTTAGGGCTCCAATTCATAAGATGCAAATGGTTCAGTGAGCTGTAGCAGAGGTATGAGCTCTTGGCCAAACCTGCACTGCAATTTAGTAAAATGAACATTTACACTGCAGAAAAAGGGACCTGACTAAATGCAGCCATAAGTAATGGCTTCTTGTCACTATAAACCAGTCCTCCAAAACGTAACGGACGAGTGCGCCTGACAGTCCTAATAAGAAGGATCTGAGGTAGCTTGGGGTGATAGTGATGGTAGAGAGTTTAAATCTAAATCTGACAGCTCATCAAAGCAAACAAACTGCACATAGAGAACACAAATTTGGACAGCTCCATCTATCACATGGGAAGGTAGAGCCATCAGGCCAACAGGCAACCAGCGTGCTAAGACAGCAATGGCTTAATGCTTTCAATTTGTTTGGTTTTATATCCCCATATTAACTTCTCTGGCAGGACAAGGACCAATTGAATCATGTTCTTTCTTAAGGATGAAGCCCCAGAGTGCTTCCTTC